ATTCATTGTTAAATCGGTACAGATGAGTGACCACTTCTGACACTGGCCGCCGGCCATGGCCCGTACAGAGTGGACAGACAAAAATTATCGGGAGTTTAAAATATGTCTGAAACTCACTAGAAATCTCCAGGATTTGCAAATAAATTAAATTCTGTTTTATTTTCTCCAATTTATTGAAGTTGGGAAATGTATCAAAATTTATGTATAGACATCGGAAACTGGATTATTCACCGGCACGTCAGCCCGCCAGGGCAGTCGTATCGAATAAATTGATCGATGCGAACCTTCCGATCAGGCAGACATGTACATATAATTGTCCAATAACCAACAAATCCACACCCTCTTGATTGACAAATAAATGTCGTTTAATGAATGTATTGCGGATATCCAAGAAAATAAACTAAATATATTATTTAGATACAATTAGAACCCTGGCAGTGCAAATTTTAGACCCGTTAGAACGCTACTTTTTTTTAAACTTTCATAAACATTTACCTATTAATTTATAAATGTTTAGCACATAATATTTTAAGTGTTTAGTAGAAATATTATACAATTTGAGATGCTGTTAACCTTAACATGAGAAAGGAGCTAATATAATTTTTAAAAATAAGTAGTATTACTCACGGCTTTAGTGTAATGGTATTGTAAAAATACAAATATAAATACAAATGCGAGTGCTTACCAGTGTATAGAACATATATTCGTATACTTGTGTTTACGTTTAACGACAACAGTTAACCTTATATGTAAATTATACGTAATATTATAATTACCGTAAATTACAATATTTTATTGCGTGTCTTCATGTAGCTCCTAAACATCTGCGCCCCGATTCTGTTTAGGTCAGATAGAATCGACAGACATCGATAATAATAGAAAATGCATGAAAGCTAATCAATATATATTTATTACGATTAATATCTTTCAGGTATCATATTTTGAAAATTTGTATTGGCAACTTTTTAAATTATAATCTCTCTTTACTACAATTTTCTCATTTGCTGCTATTATTTGAATGGGACAAAATGTAAATGAAAAGAAATTACATGATTTTAGGTGATTACTCAAAAAATAGTAGATAACTTAAAAACTAGAAGAGATAGAAGGTATAGGGAACCCTGATACCGTTCGAAAGAGAATAAAATTGTGTATAAGAATATAGAAAAACATACAGGGTGTTCCATTTAAAAAAACCGACTTATGAAGGTTTGAAGTTAAGTAAACTCGGCATTAAATTTCTAGCACCCTGTATGCAATTAAGCCACTTTGAAAGTATGGATGGGAAGCTTAGGGGTCTAGCTCTCCCCCCTATAAATATTGTTGCTTTATCTTTCTTACTATAAAATACACATGGTTTGAACCTAGTTATTGATTCTCTCCATTTTTTTGAAAAAAAAAAAATAAATATCTCGAAAACGGTTAATTTTAGGAAACTTCATAAAAGTCCACCTAAAATAACACGTATAATTCAAAAATAATTCTAATGGGCCGTCACCGCAAGACACCCTGTATGACTATCATTTGATGATAATTTTAGGAATTAATTTTAATTAGTTTAATACCTTTCAGCCTATGATAAAAAAGCAACACCAAAAAAAATAATTGAAATAAAACTCACATTTTGAGGCAGCAAGAATTACGTCTCTTTTCGCAACCTCCTAAAATATATCCAACAAATATAATTACCACTTTTTATAAGCTTATGCTTTCCGCATGTAATAAAAACGTTACTTTAGCCGTTGCATAAAATTTGGCATCTCCTTGCCCATCTTCCGTGATTCATATTTAACCACTTCGTAATGTAAAGGCAGTATCGTAAAATTCCGGAGTTTATCATTTTCATCGGGCATTACCATAATTTTTCCCAGGCTCCTAAAGAGTCAATTACGCTGGCCCGTTACTCGCGCTCGGCAAAACAACATTGTAGTTTTAATACACATTTAAATTTCTTGACGGATTTTATTACGAATGCCAAACTGTCCGGTGGAGGGTACCAGTGAAAAAACCGGTCCGAACGAATTCGTTTTCAGTTTCGGTTTCGACTGGACCAGCTCTCAAAAAGCTGTAAAACTTGCCTTTGTGCTAAACTGAGGCGACGAATTTTCTATTTACTTCCAAAGGTAACGTAAGTCGATTGGTTTCTTCTAATACAAAGTGTCCCACTAAGGTAGGTGAGGTACGATATTAGAGAAAGTATAGGCCCTTGAAAATTATTTCCAGCGATTCCTCTTGGTCGATTTATCACTCAAAATTTTTTTCCCGAAATTGTAGGGCCTATAATTTCTCTAATATCGTACCTCGCCGACCTTAGTGGAACACGCTGTATACGAGGATTAGTGTCGTAAAATCCACCATTAAAGTGTGCCCACTAACTTCATTTACACCCTGTATAATAATCTAAATTGACAATTGACCGTTACTAATGATAAAATTAGATCGAGACCAGTATCAAAACAGACAGCTTTGAAAACTTACTACTCGTATTATTTATAGCGATATTGCAGTAATTTTCTTAACTTTTCTCGCCTCTTAATAAATACGGCTCCTTGGCATTCAGCTGCCTCATAATAAGACATTAATTTTACCTCTTAATGGAGAAATATTTCATTTATCTAACAGTAAATAAATCATGTTGGTAGCGTATCAATTTAAAATCAAATGTACAGCTTTGTCATGTCTATCCAAAGCGATCGCTATAATTTATATGAAAAATTATAAATGGTGTTTGCTCAGATTCCACAATTATTCTACAGGTGTTACCCCAATTAATGGTTAGAACAAATACGGTAAGATAATGGACGGGTTATTAAAATGAGATAACATCTCACTAATTATATGTCTGTATAAATAGAAAAAAATTATATGTATTATAGCAACTTGTCCTACTTCCATAATGACTGACATTATGTTGTGTTTAATTCAGTTAGGGATTTTTAACGATACGAGGAAGTGGTTATGAATATGTAACAATGTGTACATTTTATGAAGATGTGGAGGTAATGCTTCCTCGAATTTTTAAGGTTATGGAAATTCCTTATTTCCTATCATTGTTCATTAGAAAAATTTCGCGCTACTTTACTCTTCTATCAAAGTAGGTGATTATTGCACAACGCTAAATAAATATATTTTCATCGCAAGACAAAGGGATTATGAAATTTTATTCAAAAAACACCACAATTACGACTTCCTATTAGTTACGTAAACTTGTTTGAAAAAAAATTCAACCGAAAATTTTATCTGTTTTGTTTAGGTAAACTTGCGTACTCAGTAGATGTCATCGAGTTTTATATTAGCGGTGGTCCGATCGGAGCGAATTTGATGTCGTTGTGTAGGTTGGATAGAAATAGCGCAGGCATTTCACGATTACTGAGGTAGCAATGAGGAAGAAAATGGCGAACCTCTATATTTTAGCTACTCACATAACCCTATACCTTTCTTTTATGATAGACACAAATAAATTCATTTATACAGGGTGTCCCATTTTAGTCGATCACCCCGAATAACTTGACCTCCAATTGAAAAGCTTCGAGAACAAAAGTTGCAAGGTTTTAATGAGGCTGTACGATAATGACCTTGGTTTTATGGTCTAATGTTGACTCTGACCTTGATTTAAAGGTCATTTAAGTGTTAACTTTGGATTTGGCTGTTCTATCCAAAGATGGGAAAAACAAAAAATATCACGTCCAAAAATGTATAGTTGGCTCTGCATCAGATGGACCCCTATGGTTTACACCTACGACCAAATTAGAAAATTTTAAGCTTCATCATTAATTCAATAACTACTATCCAATTTTAAAAAGTAGTATAATCCCGACGCAATCGGATTAGACCGTTGGAAAAAGTAAAAGAAAGTAAGTTTTATTATTTAGGTTCATTATATTTAGAGTAGCTATTTCAATTAAATTTTAAATAATATGTACTTCTATAAACAGAAACTTTCATTATGAAGAAAAAATAAATAATACATAATAGAATTACTCCCGCAAATGTTTTAAATATGTACTATATATACAGGGTTATCTAAAAGTCCCGGTACGACAGAAAAACTGTCAGACAAAAGTGTAAGGATTTTTCCCTGGCTATCTGATGGTGACTTTGGATTTGACCTTGACTGACCTTCAAGGTCATTTGAAAGTCAAGTTAAGTTTTTTAAATGGAAACACCTATTTTTAATTGCGGATTTAGAAAGAACAGGAAATTTTGACAATGACCTTGCTCTTTCCAAATCCGCAACAAAAAACAGGAATTCCCATTTAAAAAACTTAACTTGACATTTAAATGACCTTGAAAGTCAAAGTCAAGGTCAAATCCAAGGTCACCATCAGATAACTAGGGAAAAATCCTTACACGTTTGTCTGAAACATTTTTTCCCAAATTGCATTCTTGGAAAGTTTTTCTGCCGTACCAGGACTTTTGGATAACCCTGTATAATTAATACAGAGAAGGGGCCTAGTCTATCTTTACGAAAATGTTCTTTTTCTTTTTAAAAGTTTTCTGAACCAGTTGCAAAAAAGACATCAATACAACGATATTCAAACTGCTATACAGTGTGATTTGCAAATGGTGACCAAAAATGAAACCGTATTCTTTGGTGAATGTTAAGGGGAGTCTTTCCTATAATTTCCTATTTCACTTACTAGTTTTTAAATTATTTAAAAAAATTAAAATATTTTTTGAAGTTTAACACTCTGTATCTTTTTAACGAAGCGTCCTAGTTAAAAACTTTGTAGGAAACACCCCTTAAAATTTACCAAAGAATACGAGGTTTCATTTTTGGTCACCATTTGTTAATCACCCTGTATACTTGAAAATTAATTAATTAATTAAAAAAAAATTAATTAAAGACGTAGAAATAATATCGGAACGAAACAAACATCAAGTCATCAAATCTTTCTCTTGTAAAACAATAGCGATCCGTTCTTCGATCTGACCTATATCATGCGAGTTATTAATCTATGAGTCACATACGTGATGGATAACGATTTCATGCTTCTTACCTTTTCAAGAACACCACTGTACGGCTGAATATTAGGTGGTGCCAGCCTACTGTTAACCGACCGGGTGCCCTCATGCTGTGCCTCTGTGTCATCGCCAGAGCATACGCTTGGGGAGCACACCAGTTCACATGGTGATTCATCAGAGAAGAGCGTCTCTGTACCACTGTCGATGGTGGCCATGGTGTATTACATATTTAAGACCTGCAACAAAGAACACTTGTAGAACAAACGTTGTCAGTCATCATCACCGTCAAATAGAGCCGTTTCATTAAATGAAATCCTGTTCAAATTTTACTGTCAAAAATTGTTAAATGTAACGACGGTTTATGCACTGTATCTCCAAATCAAAAGGCGATAGAACTAAACACTATATGTACAGGGAATTAAGGGAAAATGAGTAGAATAAGAATACGCGAAAAAAATATTTTCAAATTATTATGTAAACCCCTTTTCGTACCGCTCCTGGCCACTGGCCTACAAAGGTTTATCGAGGGTAAATTTTGACCCCACCATATTAATCGGTTATTAACCTAGCTTTTACTGAATTTTTAATAGGGAACGATAAAAACAGACAACAAATGTATAAGGATAATAATTGTTTTCGAATCTTAGCTTATTTAATATTTTTAATATTGTTAACGTTTTCACTATGTTTTATAATTGAATATGAGTTTTTTGTATTATGTTCAATTATTAAGTATTCAGTTCGTAGTATATATACCTTATTGTGTGACTTATTGTTTTTCAAAGGGTAGTATGGTATATTTAAAATGACAGTACGGCTAAAAAATACTCACTCATCCATCCATAGTACTTTGTTAAGTGGGATTCGTTGCACATTGATTTTGAGATCAACTGCAAAATTCAAGGCGACTGGGGAAATCAGCTGTTTCGCTTCAATGTTCGGACGCTTTATAGTCCGCCAGCCAGCGTGTTCGCTGTTTTCGAAGTAGAGCGCCAAGTTAAGGGTAATTTACTTATATTTTATTTTCGATTTCCTGTCTTTATTAGGCCTTAGGAATACGTGGTTAAAATTAACGACATTATGACCAAATCACCCTGTATACATGTAATAATAATGATTTTATTCTATTTTTGTCTAATGGCAAAGCTTTACTGTTGTTGAATAATTGATATTATCTTCGTAATATTAAAAGAAGTGTACCAAATATTTGTCCACAATTCCGTTATATTTTATGACATATTCAAAAACAATCAACACTCAAATATGCCGCTTCCAGTTATACTGAAAAGAGGAGTTTTAAGAAAAAAGTTAACGATTTAATAGCTTAGAATAACTCGACATCTAAATATATCCAAAAATTAAAAATCCAGGTAACGGAACTAAACATGTTAATAAGTTATAATCGAGCTTTTATGGCATCAGACAAATAAATGTATAGTGTATAGTGAAGTACAGAATTTGATATCTTAATATTATACCTGCATATGCAAATCGGTAGAGTGAAATTTGATATTTTTAATTTCTAAGTAATACTGTTAGTTTAGGTATTCGATATGGCACATTTGAAAAACTCGTTGAATATAAAATTATACACGATGTAACGCAAAATAACAAAAAAGGACATAGGTGGTATGTAGTAAAAAAGTAGGTAGGTACATCTGTAATGAGCAGATTGTTTTTTTTAAATACATCTGAAAATAGTTGTCGAAGACTGACGTTTGCGTTTACAATTTAATTAAAAGTAAAAAACGGTTTTACTTTTATTTTCGGTTTATTTGTTTTTATTTATTTAATTTTGCTTTTAGTTTATTGTCATGCAAGATCTATGAACTGCACGGTACCAGGGTAGACGTTCGACCACCTCCTATGATGTTTCCCGATGTAGTGGTGTATCTTTGTGTTGTTCTGGCTCAGTTCGAATTGTGCCATCTACTGTGGTTTTGGACGTTTAGATCTTCGGTGATAGCTTCGTTGGTTTTCGAAACGCGATTCTATAGTGACCTTATACCGTTTTGTGGTTGATATTCTAACAAATATAAAAAATACATCTATATTTTCTATTATTTCCTTAAAATACATTCACATTTTTTTTACTACAATTCGCTTTGTCCACCCTATACTAAATTTCGTACGTTTAGCACCGCAATAAAAATAGACAACCTCTTCATCTTCCTTTTTTCGTAGCCGAAACGACCGGACAGGAAAAATAAAAGCCAGCCTTATTATAAATCTGAATGTATCTTACGTCTCTCACAATACGTGTTCAACTTAAGCTCGGTTTCTTGTTAAACTGCCGCCAAAGCCAACCGCGCTGAGACAATGACCTATGTTAAAGAGGTTTTTCTGTAGGTCAGTATTACAATGGGTTCTTTCACAGCTGGGAGATGCAGTTTTGTATGAGAATAACGCGTCTTTTGATAAGAGAAAGAAATTGGGAAAGTAACTCGTTAGGAGGAGAATAGTAACGGAACGTGACTCGGCTGACAGCTGATAAATATGCTTGAAAATGGTACCTTGAAAATAATACAAAAATTACAATTATTTTATTTAGTATATTAGTGTCAGTTTTACCATACAAAATTTCACGCATGTTTTGAAATCTCCCGAAGAAGCTCCGATTGCTGTCAAACGCCATCAGTCGTAGCAGACGATGATAACTAACAAAGCGCGCTAGCAATCACTGAGCCGGTGCCAACAGCACAGACAGGCGTGAAAAATTCACCACAGTTCCGGATTCATGGAAAATAAAATAATTCTAAATTCTAGCAAACTCGAACTTAAGAAAGGCGCTATGCAAAATCATTTTCAGATGTATAACTCTTGTAGACCAAAGCACATCAGAGGTCAACGCGAAGACCGCTGCATGACCCTTCCGGATCCTACCTGGACTGTGTTCGAACATCAACCCTTTAAACTACAAATCTGAAGAATCAAGATTTTTAAGTCGTTTTAAGTTTTTTCAGAATTTAGTCCTCAGTGGAGTTGTATCCCACAGTATTATCAATAGCTTGCATTTGAAGATGGTTTTTTTGCATACCTAGACCTAGCCTGGAATTGAACCAGTTTAACAACTTTTCAAAGTTAAGTAAAAGTTCAAAACTTATTATTAAAAAGGCATAATTAAAGAAAAAATTAAATTATCCTTCAATCTAATAAACTTTGATTTTCTACAATAATTTTAAACATTAACTTATATACTTATATCATATTTTAACACTTTCCTGCAGAAATTACCCTTACACTTTCACACAGATTAGAAACAGCAGATGCTAAAATTTCTCTTGAATAATAGACATACATTTATAACATAATGAAAATTACATAATTCTATTGATTAAAATATAGCGAATAATGGGCACTCTTTCATCAATTAACAAATGTTTACCAACCCACTTTCTCCGATATGCCAAAAATCGCACGGCTTGCCACATTATTCACTATTTCTAACAGTTTAATTATTACTGGCTACGTTGACAGTTTTGCGTTGCTATGGCGTGGGTGCGCACCATTAGATGGGACCTAGGATTTTCTACATTAAACTGTATGTTTTGCTCTCTAAAACCTAGGTATTCGAATTTGCATCTACCTCGTGGGCTACTTTTAAATAATCGCTGTTGTTGTAAAATGCTAATTCACAATTTGAATGTAAAAGTAAGAGTTTTATGGAATAATTGCGTTCTGTGGACTGGCTTTTAGTTCTTTCATGGTTTCGCAGTATTATGCAGCTATATCGCTTGTCTATAAAAAGCGTTAAGTGGGTAATAAAATATGCTTATATTAACAAATTATTACCTTTATTGAAAAAATAAGTGAAGTGAATGTAATGTTGATTTTATCTGCATTTATATACACATAGAAACTATTAAAAATATAAACCATATAATAAGTAGTAAACCAAAAGTAATGCAGGACTTGAATTTGCGGCCAATCTCAGCTACACACTCTCCGTACTTGTAATGATATATTCCTTGTAGGTAGTTGTTGTTTTCTGCAGCCGCAAACTAGCCGCAAATTTAGTGTTTGTTAATTTCGACGCTTTTAAGTGATAATTATGTTTCCACTTTTTGCTATATGAGATTTTTTTGCATAGTTAGAAATTTCACTGTTCTTTATTTTTTCAAAATATGAGTATCTAAAGATTACATATCACTGTTTCATAAAACTATATTTACAAAATTAAAGCTTCACGAAATATTTTCATTCTCGCTTATACGAAGCAATTTAGTTCAATTCAAGTTCATGCTCTGATAATAGCGTGCGAGCTCTTGAACAAATCATCGAGATTATTACTGAAAGAAACTATTACGCTAAATTAATATTCAAGCTGGAAGCTCGTCGAGCACTAAAAACGACTGAATATGAGAGAAAATTAGTAAACAAACAGCTAATTATAACTTAATTACGGTTTTATTTCTCCTAATTGCATCATAAAACGTCGTAAATCACATTCCTTTTTAATTTCACGGAGAGTTTTAACTGAGAGAAATGCACATGAGCAATTGGTAGTATCAAATATTTGACGGTAAAAAAAATATCAAAAGTGTCAGCCTAACAGTTTTTTATGTATTAATTAATACGTTCAGCTTTTTAAACGTACTTGTGTTTCATTCTTAAAAAAATTGCCAATACTTCCTTATAAACAGAATGTGGTAACAACAACTATTACACAGCAAAAAAAAGGAAGACAAATAACATCTGCTTTCTCCATATTTGTTCCACCGCAAATTGTAATAGTTTCTTCCTTATTTGTCTCCCAAACCATTGTAATTCATTTCGCAGGGACCATTCCGCAAGAAGCACAACTATATACTCCCAGACGGACCATCTGATATGCTGCTTTGCCCGATACAAAGCTCACGCAAATTCAGTATTAATAATATTCAGAATTTGGGGTTCAACAAACCAGTAAGACATCGACTAATCTGGTCCACATTTAGAATTACAATGGAGTTTTTATGACCACGTTTGCCACCGCAATCTGCCATCAGAAACGTGGGCTAGATAGACGTTTACTTCCCATTTTTTTCTCTCTCCATATCTGCATTCATGAGTGATACATAGTCCGGGCTCGAGTCGTTGACATTCTTAGATTTACACATAGCGGTCATTAGTGCGGCACGATTTTTGCTGCCAACGTGCGCTTAAAAGCTGACTATTCACGAAAAGTCGCGGAATATGTCCGATTGGGACGCGTTTATCATAATATCGACCGTGGTTAAAGCCTTTTCAGGTTGTT